TTCCTTTTCACTGGTATATAATTTTACTGAGAACTTTGAAAAATTGCTTTGAAAGTCCTCCAGTGTTTCTCAACTGTCTCACCATAAAGTCTACTTCAGCCAACTCCTCCCTCACCTTATTGTAGTCTCCTTTGTTTAAAGCACAGGACCTTGGTATTGGATTTTATCTTCTCACTTTCCATCTGTATTCTAAATTTAACCATACTGTGGTCATTCCTTCCAAGAGGATCCCTAACTATGAGATCATTAATGAGTCCTGTCTCATTACACAGGACCAGATCTAGGATAGCTTGCTCCCTCGTCAGTTCCATTACATACTGTTCAAGAAAACTATCATGGATACATTCAATGGACTCCTCCTCAAGATTGCCTTGACTGACTTGGTTTGACCAATTGACATATAGATTAAAATCTCCCTTCTTTTATTTATTTATTTGGGCATCACTGGCTTGGTTAGCATTTATTGCCCATCCCTAATTGCCCAGAGGGGCAGTTAAGAGTTGATCACACATTCCTGTGGGTCTGGAGTCACATGTAGGCCAGACCAGGTAAAGATGGCAGTTTCCTTCCCTAAAGGACATTAGTGAACCAGATGGGTTTTTCCTGACAATCAGCAATAGTTTCAGGGTCATCGTTAGACTATGAATTCCAGACTTTTATTGAATTCAAATTCCAACATGTGCCATGGAGGGTTTTTAACCTAGGTCCCTAGAACATTCCCTGGGTCTCTGGATTAACCTTCCAGCGATAATACCACTAGGCCATCACCTCCCTGATAATTGCTGTACTATTTTTACAGGCATTAGTTATTTCTTTGTTTACTGCCCACCCCAATGTGATGTTATTATCTGGTGGCCTATAGACCACACCTATCAGTGACATTTTCTTCTTAGAATTTCTAATTTCCACCCAAATAGATTCAACCATGTTCTCCATAGACTGTCTATTCAGACTGTCTGTCCTTCCGAATAATGTGATATCCCGTGGATATTTAATTCCCAGTCGTGACCATCCCACAACCACGTCTTCGTAATGGCTACTAAATCATACATATTTGCGATGATTTGTGCCATTTACTCATCTGCCTTGTTTCGAATGCTACGATCATTCAGGTAAAGTGCCTTTATGCTATTTTCCATACCTTCTTTTTGAATTCTAACATCTCCATTAATAAAAGCTCCTGAGTTTTCCTTCCTTTTAACTTCTTTCATAGTCTTCGATGTTGTTAAACCCTCCTGCACACGTTAACCTGCTGCTTTCTTTTCTATTTACTATTATATTTCCCATTGTTTTCCACTTCTCTTCCCTTCAATTCACTAGTCTAAAGTGCTAGTGAACACCCTATTTATCCTTTTTGCGAGAACACTGATTTCAAATCGGTTCAGGTGGAGACTATCCCAATAGTACAGATTCCTATTGTTCCAAAACTGATGCCAATGCCCCATGAAATGGAACCCCTCTGTCCCACACCACTCTTTCAGCCTAATTTTCTTATCCCTAAGACAATTTGGCTTGGGTAGGAATCTGGAGATTATTACCCAATTCTTTAACTTTGTTCCTAGTGCTTGATAATCTCCAAACAGGTCTTCCTTCCAAGCCTCACCTTTGTTGTTTGTCCCAACATGGACCACAATAACTGGATCTTCGTCCTTCCATTCCAATATTCTTTAAAGCTGGTCAGAGATGTCCCTCACCCTTGCACCTGGCAGGCAAAACACCATGTGGGACTCTTGATCCTGCTTACAAAGAATGCTATAAATCCCCCTAATTATAGAATCCCCCACAACTATCACTTGTCTTTTTGCTCCCCGCTCTTGAACGTCCTCCTGCGCCATGGTGCAGTGGTCAGCTGGCTCATCCTCGCCGTAGCCCTTTTCCTCATCCTCACAGGGAACAAGTACCTCATACCTGTTGGACAAGGTCAAGAGCTGAGGCTCCTCTGTTCCTTAATTCAGGATCCCCCTACCTGCCTCCCTTACAATCACATCCTGCTGCCCCTGATCACCAACTGAATTTGAAGTGCTTAATCTACCGGGTGTGACTGCCTCCTGAAACAAAACATTCAGGTATGTCTTCCCCTTCCAGATGTGCCGTAGTGTTTGAAGCTCAGATTCCAGCTCATCAACTCTGAGCCGAAGTTCCTCAAGCAATCAAAATTTGCTGCAGATGTGGTCAATGCAGCTCGTAATGGGAATTGCCAGGTTCCACATCGTCTATCCATCTAGCTATTAATAGGTTCATTAATTTATTAATATTTCTTTGCTGTGTTCTTTTTCAAATTTAGTGCAGATTTCCTACCAGCCAATCAGGTCACAACTTGCCTGTGATAACAAAAACAAAAGTTGCTGGAAAAGCTCCGCGGGTCTGCCAGCATCTGTGAAAAAAAAATAAGAGTTAATGTTTCGGGTCCAGTGACCCTTCCTCAGAACTGAACTGATGTCACTCCAGTTTTTTTCACAGCTACGATATGCCCCGAGCTCAGTTAGTTTTATAGAACATAGAACAGTACAGCACAGTGCGGGCCCTTCGGCCCACAATGTTCTGCCGAACTTTTACCCTAAACCTAAGGTCTATCTAATCTCCACCCCTACCTTATACTACCATCCATATGCCTATCTAATAGCCGCTTAAATGCCACTAATGAGGCCGACTCCACTACCCTCTCCAGCAATGCATTCCACTTCTTTCTTTTAATTTACATGGTCTGTACTCAGATCCAGTGCAGCAATGGAGGAGCAATGGAAAATAAACCTAGTAGAGACAAACTGCTGTTAACCAGGTGCCCAGCCTGTCCTCTCACCACAGGTCACAGTTTATCGTTTCTGCAGTGTGCAGCGGTCATGCTTCCTGATGATATCAATCAGACTCCTCTCGGTCACCACGTCTTGCTATGCTCACTGCTTCTTTCTCAGTTGTTCTCTACACTGTTGCTCATTCAAATAGGGGGAGTTAAAGTGCTGTGGAGGCAGCAGTGTACCTGTTGGCTTCACCCACTTCACCAATTCCGAGAAATGCTTGCTGCTGCTGTTATTCACAAAGATGATTGCTGTTCCCTGGTGACCCAACCATCCTGCTCTCCCCACCTGATGCACATATTCATTCATGGTATGTCAAGTATATCAAGCGGCATGTCACAGTTCACAACCAGTCTGACATTGACGAGGTCCAGCCCTCTGCCGAGGACTCCTGTGCGGACAACAACCTCGTAGTCATCTTGAAGCAGGCCCTGCAGAATCTGATTCCGTTTACACTGGGCCTTGTCTGGGTGAATGGCCACTGTCTTCAGTTCTGTGATGGTCTGCACAGCATTTGATAGGAGATCAGCTCCCAGTCTGCAGTCCACAAACACCAGCACAGGAGGTGGGAAGAGCTTGCCTTCATTCAGAATCTCAAACAGTTTCTTCTTCTTGGGTGCTTCCTCCACCCAAAGGATAATTTGACGGACATTGGAACAAGGCTGGTTCGTCTCTCCGACAGTGATCCTGACTGGTTCCTGCAGGAACTGGCTGATCAGCTGCTCAATACCTGCTGGGATGGTGGCAGAGACCAAAATCGTTTAATGCTCCGAGGGCATTTTCTCCAGAATGTCCAACACCTGCTGCTTATACTCATTCTGTGCTGCTGCTCTGCCCTCCAACTGCTCCCTATAGTCTAGGCTGCGATCCCTGAGCTCAGTTAGTTTTATACTCGCTCTGTGCTGCTGCTCTGTCCTCCAACTGCTCCCTATAGTCTAGGCTGCGATCCCTGAGCTCAGTTAGTTTTATACTCACTCTATGCTGCTGCTGTACCCTCCGACTGCTCTCTGCAGACTAGGCCAATGTATTTTACTGAATTTGTTTTTGCCAATGGTATTTACAGGATATTACTGTATTGGAACAGTTAATTAGTAGTAGTTAATATTATTTTGATAGTTAGAGTTAAACCAATTATTTTATTTTTATCATGTCTGTATTTTAACTGTAGTGTAAAAATAAAGTGTGCTTTGCTTAAAGTCGAGTAGTTTGACCAATTGAATTGCATCTGGGATGCGATGCCTTACATTTAATGTTACAAAAAGAAAAAGTTAGGATCTAGATTTTCTTCTTAATATATTTTGAGGGAGTTTGGTCTGGTCCATTATACTGCCTATCGTTTTTTTCTCTCTCTCTGGACTCCCTCTCTACCAATCTGCTCACTGCTCCCCCGCCATCCATTATCAGCATAAATACCACCGTTTCCTGGCTGCTTTGAGTTCTGAAGAAGGGTCTCAGGACCTGAAATGTCAACTGTTTTCTCTTCCTAGATGCTATCAGACCTACTGAGTTTCTCCAGCAATGTCTGCATTTGTTTGTTTCAGATCTTCAGCACTCACAGTCCTTTGTTTTAATTTAGTTGTTAAAAGGGGACTTGTTCTGTGTTTCCCCCCGACTTTAACCTGCTACGATGGAGCCCTTAGGGTGAATCTGTGCTCTGCATTTTTGGGAAAGCTGTATTCAGAAGATCCCAAAAGAAATGTGGAGTCAGATAGGGTTGGGAGTTTGTTGACATGGAGCAGCAACCTAATGACAATTGCTGATCTTTGGAAGATTTGGGCCATTAACTAAAAAAGCAGGATTTCCCAAACGTCTGTTCATTTGTTGAAAATGTACAAAACTGTACTTGACTAATTCCTGAAGCAGATGCCGAAGTGATAAGGAACAATGTTAAACCACAAAACAGACTTTATCTTTTGTCTATTTTTGAACATTGAACGTTGCAGCTGCTTTCTTCTGGATATTAAATTAGTTTTATAACTACCATGAATTATTGTGTAATTTCTCTTAGAAGCAATTCTTCTCAAAACCAAACTACCAATTATTTAAAGTAAAATATGCATTAATGCAGTAGTAAATCTATTAATTACTTCAATTCTCAAATCAGCTGTTCAGATAAGGAAGTGTGAAAATGACAAGGACACTGAAAATGTTCAATATTGTAGTTATTAAGATCAATGATATAAAGAAGCAATTTTGACACAAAATATTTAATAAGTCTTTGCATAACTATTTCCAGCAAATGCCTCAGCTAACCACATATTAACTTGTTTCTTCTCATGTTCTGTACTTAAGTTCACAGTTAAATTGTTACGTTTAAGTGCTGAACATACATGGTAAATTCCAACGGGTATGGGGGGTGGAGTCAAGGAGCAGAACCTCTTATTACAAATCTGGCATTAGTATCACATGATTAAATTGATTCACTAAAAAAGAAAATATACCTTAGGATATTTTTCTTTAAATGCAAAAGTGCTGGGGACTTACTGATAGTGAAATGGATGAGTTCAGGGAGAAATTTAAAAAAAAAAATTAAAATCTATCTTTCCAGCAGCAGTATGAGAGCTCACCTCCAAGCATCAATAACACATTTATAATAACCTGTTGACTGTTGGCCTTGCCAAACATAACAGTACTAGGCACCAATGATTCCTACGTTAAACTGACATTAATAACTCCCCTTTCACCACTGGATTACAGCTTAATGAACATATAAATTTGGGCCTATAAAGACAGTCATATCAGTTCAAGAGAACTGTCAGTGGTCAAGTGTTTTTGTAGCTACTGTATTCAAAAAATATACTTTAGCATATTTGTTGCTGTTTACATATAGTATTATAACAAATGCAATACAGTACGTAACAGGTTATGTTTAAAAATACAATTTATCAGCTCAATAGTCACAGTAAATTACTGTATTCTTGAGGACATTAAGCATGCATTTACATAAACAATATATTAGATTTTAAAAGAAATTATACATTTAAATGTCTTTTTTGAAATCTACGTACACCAATTAGAATCCAATGAGTGACATATCAGTAATGAGCTTACACACTTTCCTGACAAGTTTTCTTAGATATCACCATTTCTAAAATCTCATTTCAGATAATACACATCATTTTAAAATAAATTTAAGGTTAGACAACAGAAACCTGAATTAACCTGTTTTCCCATTTTTGATTTTAAAATCTTTTATTCCCATGTAAAATATACATCAGAAAGTAAAAATTATCTTGAAATGCATTTGTTCTTTTCTCAGTGTGGAAGAAACTAAAAGATGGCTGGCTAAAAGTTTATTTATCTATCCCTTGTATCAATCCTGTGCCTTGATGGCTTCTTGGTAAGCAGGTTTTTACGCACTCTTCATATGAGCTGAATCTGTTTTTGTTGCCCTGGCAACCTCGATAGAGGAACTGTTCGCACTGCCTGGTATCCGCATTAAAGAACCACCGTCTTACAGGGGTGTTACAGTTCCCATGTTTTCTGGGCTGCTGGCAAACTGCTGCCAAGGAAAATAATGAAGTAAATCTGAATACATTGCCAAAGAAAGTAGTTTAAGAATTCAAGTTATTAATGATGAACCAAACAATTCAAGTTCTCATTACAGATTTTTAAAAAATGCTAATGTTCAATTCAAACTCGATTTAAATGGATATTTCAGGCATTTAATACTGTGGAAGGATTTAATTGTGAAACTAATCATTTAACAACCTTAGGGGAGAAGCATCTAGGAATCAATATAAACAAAACAAATTCTAATGGATAAGAAATTTAGAATAAACAATGAAACAAAAAATCTTCAGGACTTGTTGCTTCTGTTCTAGGGTTTTAAAAGAAGTAGGTGAAGAAATTGAAGAAGTTTTAGGTTTTCAGTTTTCTTGAATTTGAAGACTGGTGTTACATTGAAAATTATCACGTGATTACAGTTAAGGGGATGCTACTAAAATCTTACATGAAGGGATAGAGTGACCTAGCTCTTGAACAAATATGAGTCAATCAGAAAGAGACAGCACAGCTTTGTTAAGGCTGTGTCAGGTCTGATTAATTGACTTGATTTTTTTTCAGGAAGTTGCTCCAAAGGCAGATAAGAGAGCATTTATGGATTTTACTGAAAATTTATAGGTTTCTAGAAAAAATTTACACCAGATTTCTTACAAAAACAAGAGTCCACAGAAATGGAAGTTGACTTTTGAATAGGATTGGAAGTTGGTTGGAAGGCAGAAGACAGAGAATGAGACAGAAGAAAGTTACTTACTATGATGGTTGAATAGGACTAGTAGTGTAGCCCAGGGATCTATTCTACAACCTCATCTCTTTTAAATTTTCATTAGTGAGTTGGATATGTAACATAGAATATAAAAACTAGAACAAATCGACCAAATTACTCTTCAAGCCCATTCCACCATACAATACAATCCATGACAGTTCTTCAACTTCATCTCTACTTTCTCACCTACTCTTCGTATCTTTTAATTCTCTGATATCAACAATTTCTCTCTACCAGTCTTGAATAAACAAAACATTATAGCATCCATCAACATTAAAGATTCACAACTCTTGCTTTTCAGTGAAGAAATTTCTCCTCATCTAAGGCCTAAATGATTGCCCCTTAATCCTGAGGATGCACCATTTTCTTCCAGATTCTCTAGCTTCAGAACTTTTAACATCTACTCTGTCATAGTCCTTCAGAAACATGTGTTTAAATGAAATCGTATCCCATTCTTTTAAAACCTAGAAAGTATAGGCTCACTTTATTTTTTATTTTACTGCCTCTTGTCATAGCAGAACCCTGTCATCCCAGAAACCAATCTAATTCATTTTTGTTTTACAATCTCCAAGGTAAGTATATCCTTTTAGAGATCAAAACCAAAGGCCTCACCAATGTTCTCTATAACTGTAACAAACTTTCCTTAATCTTGTTCTCTCTGACTCTTGCAATAAATGTTAATATACCATTTGATTTATTAATTGCTTGCTGTGCCTCCATGCTAACATTCCATTTTTCTCATATGAGTACATCCAAGTATCGTTGAACATCAACATTTAACACTTCCATTGTTCTTACCAGTAAAATGAATAGCCACCTCTCCACATTATACTCCATCTATCTTCTTGTTGCCTACTCACTTAACTTGTATAAACCTCCAGACAGACTCCTTGAGTCATCATCACAGCATACATTCCCACATTGTTTTGTATTGTCAGCATTACTTTTGGCCTTGTCATCTGAGTGGTTATTGCAAATTGTAAGTAGCTGAAACCCTCGTATTAAACCTCACCATTTAAAACCTCCCAACTTGAAAATATATTATTTATTCACATTTTCTGATTCTTATCCACTGACCAATCCTCCACGTGAATACATTAACTCCATGAACCCTTACTTAAGCGTGTTAAACCTTTCTAAGGCACTCTATCAAATGCCTTTGGAAAGTTAAATAATAATGTCTGACTCCCCTTTATCTAACCTATTAGTTACATCCTCAACAAAAATTCCATTGAGTTTGACAACACAATTTCCCTTTTATAAAAATATGGGGACCCTGTCTCATTACACTATGATTAAACACATTAAGACTTCCTTAATAATAATTTCCACTATCTTCATTATGATTGATGTCAGGTTTACTGGCTTGCATTATCCTTTCTTGAATAATGTTCTTACACTTGCTAACATACAATTTGCTGGGTCCAATTTTGAATCTCTGAAATTTTGGAAAATCATAAATAGTGGATTCATCACCTCTGAAAATACCTCTTTTAGAACCTAGCATGCCGGTCATCTGGTTCATGAAATTTGCTATCTTTTAGTCCCTTAAGTTTCTCTTGTGTTCTTAACAGATGCAAACTTATAGGCTGTATGTCTACAAATTTTCAAATACACTTTTCTGATATGACCACTGGCTTGTAGAATCTTTCTTAAATGCAACCTAATTATCCAATTTCATACTCTAAAATTTCAGAGTTATGGGCATAGAACACCTTCATAATAAACTGTCAACAATTTTCAGTATTCTTTAACATTTTGAGTCCACTTACAGGTTTAAACCAACACTTTTCTTGGAACCTTACCCAGAACCAGCAGCTACACAGAAATAATTGGTAATTTAAACCAATTGTTGAATTATATTTTGGTTTAACTAACAAAGGATTCTTCATATTTCTTCCAATTTTGGTCACAAGACTGAGAACATGAAATCTATACTTTTAAAGTTCTTTTTCAAATTTCAAGACAAAACACTTAAAATCCATAATTCTGACAGCTGGAGGAATATTATTATAATCGAATGTACTGGTTAGGAATGGGTATGGTGGTGGGAGGGAAGTACCCTATAATATGTATTTTGGTATAACTAAATATAGAACATAGAACATAGAACATTACAGCGCAGTCCAGGCCCTTCGGCCCTCGATGTTGCGCCGACCTGTGAAACCAATCTGAAGCCCATCTAACCTAAACTATTCCATTATCATCCATATGTTTATATCATCCAATGACCATTTAAATGCCCTTAAAGTGGGCGAGTCAACTATTTTTGCAGGCAAGGCATTCCACGCCCTTACTACTCTGTGAATAAAGAACCTACCTCTGACATCTGTCCTATATCTATCACCCCTCAATTTAAAGCTATGTCCCCTCATGCTAGCCATCACCATCCGAGGAAAAAGGCTCCCACTGTCCACCCTATCTAATCCTCTGATCATCTTGTATGTCTCTATCAAGTCACCTCTTAACCTTCTTCTCTCTAACGAAAACAGCCTCAAGACCCTCAGCCTTTCCTCATAAGACCTTCCCTCCATACCAGGCAACATCCTGGTAAATCTCCTCTGCACCCTTTCCAATGCTTCCACATCCCTCCTATAATGCGGTGACCAGAACTGTACGCAATACTCCAAGTGCGGCCGCACCAGAGTTTTGTACCGCTGCAACATGACCTCATGGCTCCGAAACTCAATCCCTCTACCAATAAAACCTAACATACTGTACGCCTTCTTAACAACGCTATCAACCTGGCTCGCAACTTTCAGTGATCTATGCACATGGACACCGAGATCTTTCTGCTCATCCACACTACCAAGAATCTTACCATTAGCCCAGTACTCTGTATTCCTGTTACTCCTTCCAAAGTGAATCACCTCACACTTTTCCGCATTAAACTCCATTTGCCACCTCTCAGCCCAGCTCTGCAGCTTATCTATGTCCCTCTGTAACCTGCAACATCCTTCCGCACTATCCACAACTCCACCAACTTTGGTGTCATCCGCAAATTTACTAACCCATCCTTCTACGCCCTCATCCAGGTCATTTATAAAAATGACAAACAGCAGTGCCCCAAAACAGATCCTTGAGGTACACCACTAGTAACTGAACTCCAGGATGAACATTTCCCATCAACCACCACCCTCTGTCTTCTTACAGCTAGCCAATTTCTGATCCAAACCGCTAAATCACCCTCAATCCCATGCCTCCATATTTTCTGCAATAGCCTACCATGGGGAACCTTATCAAACGCTTTACTGAAATCCATATACACCACATCAACCGCTTTACCCTCATCCACCTGTTTGGTCACCTTCTCAAAGAACTCAATAAGGTTTGTGAGGCACGACCTACCCTTCACAAAACCGTGTTGACTATCCCTAATCAAATTATTCCTTTCTAGATGATTATAAATCCTATCTCTTATAATCCTTTCCAACACTTTACCCACAACCGAATAAGGCTCACTGGTCTATAATTACCAGGGTGGTCTCTACTCCCCTTCTTGAACAAGGGGACAACATTTGCTAGTCTCCAGTCTTCTGGCACTATTCCTGAAGACAATGACAACATAAAGATCAAAGCCAAAGGCTCTGCAATCTCCTCTCTAGCTTCCCAGAGAATCCTAGGATAAATCCCATCCGGCCCAGGGGACTTATCTATTTTCACACCTTCCAGAATTGCTAACACCTCCTCCTTATGAACCTCAATCCCATCTAGTCTAATAGACTGTATCTCAGTATTCTCCTTGACTACACTGTCTTTTTCTTGTGTGAATACTGACGAAAAATATTCATTTAGCACCTCTCCTATCTCTTCGGACTCCACGCACAACTTCCCACTACTGTCCTTGACCGGCCCCAATCTTACTCTAGTCATTCTTTTATTCCTGACATACCTATAGAAAGCTTTAGGGTTTTCCTTGATCCTACCTGCTAAAGACTTCTCATGTCCCCTCCTGGCTCTTCTTAGCTCTCTCTTTAGGTCCTTCCTGGCTAACTTGTAACTCTCAAGCGCCCTAACTGAGCCTTCACGCCTCATCTCTACATAAGCCTCCTTCTTCCTCTTGACAAGAGATTCAACTTCTTTAGTAAACCACGGTTCCCTCGCTCGACCACTTCCTCCCTGCCTGACAGGTACATACTTCTCAAGGTCACACAGTAGCTGTTCCTTGAACAAGCTCCACATTTCAATTGTGCCCAGCCCCTGCAGTTTCCTTCTCCATCCTATGCATCCTAAATCTTGCCTCAGCGCCTCATAATTGCCTTTCCCCCAGCTATAACTCTTGCCCTGCGGTATATACCGATCCCTTTCCATCGCTAAAGTAAACGTAACCGAATTGTGGTCACTATCACCAAAGTGCTCACCTACCTCCAAATCTAACACCTGGCCTGGTTCATTACCCAGTACCAAATCCAATGTGGCCTCGCCTCTTGTTGGTCTATCTACATACTGTGTCAGGAAACCCTCCTGCACACATTGGACAAAAACTGACCCATCTGAAGTACTCGAACTATAGTGTTTCCAGTCAATATTTGGAATGTTAAAGTCCCCCATAACAACTACCCTGTTACTTTCGCTCCTATCCAGAATCATCTTTGCAATCTTTTCCTCGACATCTCTGGAACTTTTCGGAGGCCTATAGAAAACTCCCAACAGGGTGACGTCTGCTTTCCTGGTTCTAACCTCAGCCCATACTACCTCAGTAGACGAGTTGTCATCAAACGTCCTTTCTGCCACCGTAATACTGTCCTTGACTAACAATGCCACACCTCCCCCTCGTTTACCACCTTCCCTGATCTTACTGAAACATCTAAACCCCGGAACCTGCAACAACCATTCCTGTCCCTGCTCTATCCATGTCTCCGAAATGGCCACAACATCGAAGTCCCAGGTACCAACCCATGCTGCAAGTTCACCCACCTTATTCTGGATGCTCCTGGCATTGAAGTAGACACACTTCAAACCACCTTCCTGCCTGCCTGTACACTCCTGCGACCTTGAAACCTTATTTATGACCTCACTACTCTCAACCTCCTGTACACTGGAGCTACAATTCGGGTTCCCGTCCCCCTGCTGAATTAGTTTAAACCCTCCTGAAGAGCATTAGCAAATTTCCCCCCCAGGATATTGGTACCCCTCTGGTTCAGGTGTAGACCATCCCGTTTGTAGAGGTCCCACCTACCCCAGAATGAGCCCCAATTATCCAGGTATCTGAATCCCTCCCTCCTGCACCATCCCTGTAGCCACGTGTTCAACTGTTCTCTCTCCCTATTCCTCGCCTCGCTAGCACATGGCACGGGTAACAAACCAGAGATAACAACTCTGTTTGTTCTAGCTCTAAGCTTCCACCCTAGCTGCTAACCGTATTAGAAGTAGAAGGTTGTTAGAATCGCATGTTTCTATTAGTTTTGTTTACAGTCTATAGTATACACAATGCTATTTTTTTTCATTCATGCCTCCTTTGACAGACCTTATAGATCATGGAAGCTCACAGCACAAAAGCAAACCATTTGCTCCGACAAGATTGAGTTTTACTGTCATGAGCAATGTCATTTAATCTACTCCATGCACTCTTTAATATTCCTTTAACCGAATCCTAATTCATATTTAATAGAATTTATGGATTCAGTTTCAGCAAAACTTTTTTCTTTAGCAGAGAATTACACAGATTAGCCATTTACTTTATAAAGATGCTTTCAATGCCTTTCCTTCAATTCTATGATATTCCTTCATTTGCATCCTTGTTGTTTTGCTGAACCAGTGGAAACAATATGTAGTTCACATGAAAATAACATTCACAATTTTGGAACAAAATTGACAGAAGGGTCACTGGACTTGAGATGTTAACTCTGTTTTTCTCTCTTTAGATGCTGCTGGACTTGTTGAGCTTCTCCAGCAATACCTATTTTTATTTTAGATTTCCAGCATCCACAGTTCTGTGTCTTTATCATAATTTTGAAGACTTCTTTTTGGTCAACTCTTTATATTCTTAGCTATAGAAGTTGAAAAGCTCCACTTATCAATGTACTCTTCACAACTGCAACCTCTAATTCCTGGTAACATTCAGAAGAATCTGCAGTGCATCTGCCTCATTGCTTTTCCTTCCCATAATGTAAATATAAACTGGAATGAACTTCCTGAGGAAGTGGTGGATGTGGGCACAGTTACAACTTTACATGAATAGGAAAGGTTTGGAGGAATATGGGCCAGGAGCAGGCAAGTGGGACTAGTTTAGTTTGGGATTTATATACAGCATGGACTTTTGTTTTCTATTGTGAGATGTGGGCATCGCTGGCTGGCCAGCATTTATTGCCCATCCCTAGTTGCCCTTGAGAAAGTGGTGATGAGCTGCCTCCTTGAATACTGCAGTCCACCTTCTGTGGATTGATCCACAATGTCACTACAGAGGGAATTCCAGGATTTTGACCCAGCAACAGTGAAGTAATGGCAATATATTTCCAAGTCAGGATGGTGAGTGGCTTGCAGGGGAACTTGAAGGTGGTGGTGTTCCCATTAATCTGCTGCCCTTGTCCAAGATGGAAATGGTCATGGGTTTGGAATGTGTTGTATGAGGATCTTCGGTGAATTTCTGCAGTGCATCTTGTTGGACCAGCGGTCTGTTTCTGTGCTGTATGACTCTAAATTGAGTGCCAAAACTTCAAACTGTATTTAACTCAGATCTACAGTTTTGAATGATTTTATCACTAATACTTTGCTTTTATATTTTACATCTCTGATTTAAAGACCAAAGATTCTGTATAACGTTTTAAATTTTATATAATTTTGTTGTCATCTTAAATGGGCTGCCTATCTATACATCAGATCTTTCAGCTACTGTACTCTGCTGAAAGTCTATATTTGAAGTTATTTTCATTTCTAATTCATTCTTCCAGCATTTTGAATATTGCATTGCATTTGTCACTGAGCTGCCATCCCACTGAACTATCTTTTCTCTCGGCTATCTTCACAATCATTGACACAACTTACCATATTTCTCAATTGGCTATCATCACTAACTTTTGATACTGTTCACACAATTTTTAAGTCAGATCATTTTTCTTTTATAATAAATAAGAGAAACCTCACCATTTACTTCAATGAAACATTATTCATCATAACTTGCCATTCCAAGAAACTTTGTTTTTTTGCCTTCTAGCTTTTTAGCCATGTTTTTCAAGTTCTTTTATCATTTTCCCACATTTTTATGTGGTAACTTCTCAACAGAATTAAATTTGCGTGAATGCTATAAAAGATTCAGCCAAGATTACTGTTCTGATGGTGAAGAATAGTTATCCCAAATAAATCTCATTCACTTCATTTCCTTTATTCCATCAAAGAATTGTAAGGTTTGTCAAACATACTAGTGTAATGGAAAATCATGCTGACTGGTCCTGAGTAGTTCATGTTACCTCAGATCCATAGTAAATTCATCTCATATTATGATTTCTAGTCATTTAGCTGAAACTAATGTACAACACAATTTTGCTGTTTTCAACTACTTTGAATATAGTTTTCAAAAAATCCTTCTGTGGTAACAACAATCAGAAGTACAATGGATAGGATATCACAATGATGATTTACTACAATCAGAAGAACATGAGTTATTGTGCATTGAAAACGCAAAGTACATCTTAACTAGTGAAAGAATGTTGATGTAGTTCCAAGTTAGGATGGTGTGTAGCTTGGAGAGAAAGTTGCAGGTAGAGGGATTCCCTTGCGTATGTATCTTGTCCTTCTGGTGTTACAGGTCATGGTGTGAAGGAGGCTTGCTGAGAATTGCATTACATCTTGGAGATGGTGTACATTGCTGCTATCATGGTGGTGCCGCATGAATGTTTACGATGGTGGATGAGGTGGCCATTAAGTGGGTTGCCTTGTCTTGGAAAGTGTTGAGCTTCTTCAGAGTTCTTGGAGCTGCACTCATTCAGGCCAGTGGACAGAATACCTTAATTTTCCTCATTTTGTCCTGTAGATGGTGGATAGTCTTTGCCAAGTCAAGGGGTAAGTTACTCACCTCAGAATTTCCAGTCTCTGATATGGCATTTTGTGGCTGCTCCAATTAAGATTTTGTTTTGTAACCTCTAGGATTTTGTCAAAGTTTTTTGCCTTGCAATCATCAGGACGCTTTGCAAAATTACCAATTCAAGGTGAAAACCAACATATATCCTGCATGACAGGAGAGTGCTAATTGGTGGAGGAATAGCCCAGGAGAATGCACCTGTCAATGTTGATTGATAGTTAACAGCCAGACTTTGTTTAAATTTTAAACCAGGCAGATTGACTCTGATTATTCAGGGCATTGCCCTGACAATTAACAACAGAATGATGGTTATCCATTTGTTCAGTTGAAACAAGTCCAGTGTATATACATGTACTTTCTACCTGAATGGAGCACCTATGTATTAATAGATGTAGCTTCCAGTACATACTTCTGCACCACTCAGTGAACCTGACTGACTATATTAAGTTGGTTATCATCTTAATTCCTCACACATTCATGATTATCTGGCAAATGTCACCCAGTTGTAGAATCACATTTCATGTTCGACAGTTTGTTGTGAGCTTTGCATGTGGTTTGTACTTGCTTGTTACACACTTCTGAAAGGACACTCTGTCTTATAAGATTCACCAGTCTTTGGGTTGTACGAACAACATACTTGGCATCACACTGGCACTGAAATTCATTACCACATTACTGATTTGTGAGATAGACAGAACATCTTTTTAGCTTGAAGTCAGCATCCTGTTAGTGGAAAACACCACTCATGTTGCTGCTACTTAGCAGTAGTGTAAAATAGCTAGTTTCACCTGTTGCTTAAATAATTACTGTTTATTACAGATAAATCCTGTTAACCAGTTAAACAATATACATGTTATACTGGGAGTTGAATAATACCTGCCCTTGCCACTCTTTGAGTGTTTCGATCCACTAGTTCACACTGAGGTCCGGTGTAGCTTTCTTTACATAAGCACATATTAGGCCGCACACATACACCACCATGCTGACATACTGGATCACACTTTGCTGTTAAAGAAACAAAAAATCTTCAGTAAACAAACAGCTTCAATTTGCTAAAGATCAATTATCTTTATGCACAGTATCTTATGTGCACATACAGACAAAAATAATAGTTTATATTTGCAAAGAAACTACTTTATATGAAACTGTAATTCACTTTTGTTATTTATTGGAAATAGGTAATAACTTCATGTGTATAATTTAGAAGGACACAGCTGCAAAGGCCAACTATGTTGAACTTCTGATCTGCGCCAAACAGTATGGAAACTGTCAAGTACAGATCAGCAACATTTCTATTTGGTAAAGGAAATTTTGAATTGCTCGACTACCATCACGTGTTTGGGGTAGCAGTGTATGTGATGACAATGTCAGGTGTGTGCGGATTGGGGCAACGACATGGCAGAAGGTGCTCAGGTCCTAAAATCATTGAACTTGATATTAGGACATAGAACAGAGAACATAGAACAGTACAGGCCCTTCGACCCACAATGTTGTGCCGAATTTTTACTCTAAACCTAAGATCTATCTAACGTCCACCCTTACCTTATACTGTCATCCATATGCCTATCTAATAGCCGCTTAAATGCCCCTAATGAGGCCGACTCCACTATCCTCTCCAGCAATGCATTCCACACCCCTACCACTCTCTGACGTCTCCCCTATATCTACCTCCACTCACTTTAAAACTATGCACCCTTGTAATAGCTACCTCCCCCCTAGGAAAAAGTCTCTGGCTGTCCACTCTATCTATACCTCTGATCATTTTGTACACTTCTATCAAGTCACCTCTCATCCTTCGTCGTTCTAAAGAGAAAAGCCGTAGCTTTCTCAGCTTTTCCTCATAAGACCTTCCCTCCATTCCAGGCAACACCCTGGTAAATCTCCTCTGCACCTTTTCCAACACTTCCACATCTTTCTTGTAATGAGGCAACCAGAACTGGACACAATACTCCAGATGTGGCCGAACCAGGCTTTTGTATAGCTGGAGCATAACTTCACGGCTCTTGAACTCAAACCCTCTATTAATGAAAGCTAACACACCATACGCCTTCTTAACAACTCTATCCACTTGGGTGGCAGCTTTCAGGGAACTGTGGACATGAACCCCAAGATCCCTCTGCTCCTCCACATTGCCAAGAATCTTTCCGTTAACCCTGTATTCTGCTTTCAAATTTGTCCTTCCAAAATGAATCACCTCACACTTTTCAGGGTTAAACTCCATCTGCCACTTCTCAGCCCAGCTCTGCATCCTATCAATGTCCCTTCGTAACCTAGAACAGCCCTCTGTACTATCCACAACTTGACCCACCTTCGTATCGTCCGCGAACTTACTAATCCACCCTTCCACTCCTACATCCAAATCATTTACAAAAATCACAAATGGAAGAGGACCCAGAACAGATCCTTGTGATACACTACTCATAACTGAGCACCATGTTGAATATTTTCCGTCCACTACCACCCTTTGTCTTCTAAGGGTCAGCCAATTTTGAATCCAATCTGCCACATCTCCCCCTATCCCATGCCTCCTTACCTTCTGCATCAGCCTACCATGGGGAACCTTATCAAACGCCTTACTTAAATCATGTATACCACATCCACTGCTCTACCTTCATCCACGTGTTTGGTCACCTCTTCAAAGAATTCAATAAGGTTTGTGAGGCATGATCTACCCCTCACAAATCCATGCTGACTATCACAAATCAAACTGTGTCTATCCAAGTGATCATAAATCCCATCTCTCAGAGCCCTTTTCAATAATTTGCCCACCACTGAAGTAAAACTAACTGGCCTGTAATTTCTGGGGTTATCCCTATTCCCTTTTTTGAACAAGGGAATGATGTTTGCCACTCTCCAGTCTTCCGGCACTATACCCGTGGACAGTGAGGACGAAAAGATCATCACCAAAGGCCCTGCGATCTCTTCCCTCGCTTCCCGTAGAATCCTTGGATAAATCCCATCAGGCCCGGGGGACTTATCTATCTTCAAGTTCCTCAAAATTCCTAGTACGTCTTCCTTACTAACATCCACCTCCTCTAGCCTACCAGCCTGTTTCACACTGTCCTCCCCTACAACTAGGTCCCTCTCAGTTGTGGATACCGAAGAAAAGTATTCATTAAGGACTTCTCCTATCTCTTTAGGCTCCGTGCACAAATTCCCTTTACAATCCTTGATATTGAGTCTGAGGGTTGTAGATTTCCGAGTGGAAAATGAGATGCTGTTCTTCCAGCTTGTGTTGAGCTTTGCTGGAGCACTGCAGCAAGCCTGAAACAAAGATGTTGGCCAGGGAACATGGTGGTGTGTTGAAGTGGCAGGCAACAGAAAGCTCATGGACATTTCTACAGATGGACGTAGGTGTGCTGCAAATTGGTCACTCAGTCTGCATTTCGTGCCCCAGAGACCACATTGTGAGCACCGAATACAGCAGACCACATTGAGTGAAGTGCAGGTAAATCACTCCTTCACCTGGAGGGTGTGTCTGGGGCCTTGGATAGTGAGGAGGGAAGAAGTAAATGAGCAGGTGTTATACCTTCTGCAATTGCATAGGAAGATGCTATGGAGTGTTATGAGTGTTGGGAGTAAAAGGGGAGTGGACCAAAATGTCTCGGAAGGAACAGTCCCTGGGGAAGGCTGGCAAGAGAGGGGAAGGGAGTATGTGTTTGGTGGTATCATCCTGCTGGATATGGTGGAAATGGCGGTGAATGATCCTTTGGATGTAGATGCTGGGTGGGTGGTAAGTGAGGACCAGGCGGATCCTATCGCTGTTGTGGGAGGGAAGAGAAGGGGTGAGGGCCGAAGTGTGGGAGATGGGATGGACATGACTGAGGGCCCTGAGATGGACCAGGTGAAGGTGACAGCACGGTGGAAATTGGAAGTGAAATTGATAAACTTTTCCAATTCTGGATGAGAGAGAGAAGCTGCATCAATGATGTTATCGATATACCAGAGAAAAAGTTGTGGATGGGGGCTAGAGTAGGATCAGAACAAGGAATGTTCCACAAAGAGACGAGCATAACTGGGACCCATGTAGGTATTCATGGTCACACCTTTGATCTGAAGAAAATGAGAGGTGTTAAAGGAGATGTTGTTCAAAGTAAGGACGAGCTGGGCCAAGTAGAGGAGGGTGGTGATGGATGAGAACTATTCAGGCTTTTTTCTCCCCAAAAGTGGACAGCCCTGATACCATCATGATGGGGATGGATGTGTAAAGGGAGCACAAGTCCATGGTGAAGAGGAGGTGGCCTCTGATGGAAAGCATCAGAAGAATCACAGATGTAAGTGGGAAGAGACTAGACAAGGGGAGAAAAAGCCAAATCGAGGTAGGAAAAGATCAGTTCTATGGGACTGGAGCTGGCAAAAATAATGGGTCTGTCTGGGCAGTCCTGTTTGTATATTTTTGGAAGGAGGTAAAAACGGGCTGTGTGGAATTGAGGAACTATGAGCTTGGAGACTGTTGGGGGGAGATCACCTGATGAAATGAGATTAGTGACCACTGTAGCCTGGTGTTCACTAATGGGTTTCTCCCTTCCCTTCTTGACATTTCTGTTTACATTTCTGGGAAAGAGATGGCCACCAATATCCACTTTACATCCACCATTACCCACTGTTGCCTTGACAATATAACTTCACACATCCTGCTTCCTGTAAAGACATCTGTCAGATTCAATTTCCATTCTCCTAGTTTCTCCATCTCTGTTGCATCAATTCTGATGATGCTACCTTCTACAAGGGGGCCTCTGAAATGTCCACCTTATTCCTCAACCAAGGATTCCCCACCACCATAATTGACAGGGACCTCATCTGTGGTCGACCCATCTCCTGCACTTTGGCCCACACCCTTCTCTTCCTTCCCACAACAGCGATAGGATCTCCCTAATCCTCACTTGCCATCCCATCAACATCCACATCCAATGTGCCACACCCACATCCACCATAAGCCATCATTTCCACCACCTCTAGCAGGGTGCCACCACCAGAAACAGTTTTAAAAATCATATTCAAAGGAGCACCCTGTGAGCTATATACAACGATGCTTTCCCTTAGAACAGAATCCCTACTGCGTGGAAACAGGCCATTCTGCCCAACAAGTCCACACCACCGCTCCAAAGAGCATCCCACCCAGACCTATTCCCCTATCATAGGGCGGCACAGTGGCTCAGTGGTTAGCACTGCTGCCTCACAGCGCCAGGGACCTGGGTTCAATTCCACCCTTGGGCGACTGTGTTGAGTTTGCACATTCTCCCCGTGTATGTGTGGGTTTCCTCCAGGTACTCCGGTTTCCTCCCACAGTCCAAAGATGTGCAGACTAGGTGGATTGGCCATGTTAAATTGCCCATAGTGTCCAGGGATGTTTAGGTTAGGTGGGTTAGACATGGGAAATTAGGGGAATGGGTCTGGGTGGGATGCTCTTCGGAGGGGTGGTGTGGACTTGTTAGGTCGAATGGCCTGTTTCCACACTGTAGGGATTCTATGATTCTATACCTTGCATTTCACCTAAACATCCCTGGACACTGTGGGCAATTTAGCACGGCCAATCCACCTAGCCTGCACATCTTTGGACTGTGGGAGGAAACCAGAGCACCCAGAGGAAACCCACACAGACATGGGGTGAATGTGCAAACTCCACACAGACAGTCGCCTGAGGGTGAAATTGAACCCGGGTCCCTGGTGCTGTGAGGCAGCAGTGCTAACCACTGAGCCACCGTGCCGCCCCAGAAGAGCATGAACAGATACAACGGAGCCAATGGATTGACTAAAGGGACTAACTGCTTTACAACAATGTCTTGATTGGCTCCTGACCACAGCTTGTGTAGGATCAGTGTACCTGGCCTGCAAAGAGAAAGTATATTAAAAAAATCTGTGCGTATATGTCTCTCTCTCACTTGTGGAGGTACTAGAAAATCTCCAGTAACAGCCAGCTGTCCTTCACTCACGGTTCTTTGCAAATCCCCCAAAGGAGGAGTAAAATACCCTTAAAGACAGTGAAAGCATTAATTCCTAACTAG